ACCTTCTCTGGGGAAAGAGTGCTTTGCTGCCCCGATTTGGTGGGTCCTGAGTTCCGTTTTGTACATCACCTTTCCTCTGCGGAAAGGCTCAGGGCAATGTTCCATGCAGGATTAAGGGAACTTGATTATTGTTTATACCAGGGGTGGTGAAAGTGCAGCCTGAAGGCCACATTCAGCTCCCCCAGGGCTTTGTTTGCAGCTCCCCAGCTCGGTGGGGATTGGAATGGCAGCCCTCTCACATCCGCCCCCTTTGCTGCACAATCGTGGGTTTGGCTCTGAAAGGCCTGTCCCGTCCCCCGTCCCCCGTCCCCCCAGCGAGGAGGGAAAGCGGCTCCCACCTTCAGATATCTTTGAAATGCCATTTTAGATAAACAGGTCCAGGGGAACTTTTCCAGGGTCTGGATTTGTCCCTTTGCTCCACCGGACGGGTCAGGACCAGGCCAGGCCCCATAAAGCAGCTCCTCCCTTCCCAGATCTTAAAGGCACTCTTGCCCTCTGAGACAAATGGCTTAATCATTAGCTTTATGTGGAAGGAAATCCATCATGGCACCAGAGTCTTTCCATCGATAGCACAGGGATCCTGGAGGGCGCCTGGGGGGGGGTCACTTTCCAGAGCCACGGCAAAGTAAACTCAATGCTCCCAGTGGCTGGGGGAAATAAAACAGGAAGGGAGGAAAAAGGAAAAGAAGGGAAAAGGCAGGAAGCAAAGAGAGAAAGAGAGAAAGAGAGAGAGAGACGAGAGAGACCGAACCCTTCACGCACGGCACGGCAGCCCCGGCAAGAACGCAGGGCCGGGTGGATGGAGCCGCGGGGCCAGAGGACGGCAGGCGGTTGGAAAGCTGAGCCGCTTCCCCCTGTTTTGGAAGACCGCTCGCAGGAAGCCCCCAGCCGGCTTGGCCTCTGGTGGGGGGGAGTCTGAGAGTTGGGGGGACCTGCCCCCAGAATACCCCCCCCCAAGACCCTTCCAGTGCTCTGGAAAGGGCAAACCTCACCCCTCCCCCGACACGCACGCACACACACACACACACACACACAGAGGGGTGCTTTTTAATTCAGCCTCCGCGTCTTCCCTCTGCCTTGCCTTCTCCTCAGAAGCTCCCTGGGTGACCTTGGCTGCCTCTGCCTGAGCTACCTCGCAGGAGGGTTGTGGGGTGGCGGAGAGGTGGGAGGGCGCCACCTGGTGCTCACTGGAAGGAGGTGGAGTCAGTCCTGACCGGAGGGGGGCCAGAGGGGCCAGGCCGGACCGACCTCTCTTGAACTCTGAGCCCTGGAGGCACCCTCCTGGTGGAAGCGCCCCCCTCCCCGGGACAGGCCCTCCTCCTCTCTACCTGGTGACACCTTGCTGGCGGAGGGGGACCCTGAACACCGGCAGGGGGTGGGCTAGATGACCCAGGAAGGCCCTTTCCGACGCCACAGCCCGGTGATGCTGGGAAAAAATGCCTTGCAGAGAGTGACTCAGAGCTGGCTCTGCAAAACTGCTGGAAAGTGCTGGACAGAGGGGAGGGTGAGGCCGTGGGGCTAGAGGTTGGGGGTTTGATTCCACACCATGCCCTTCCCTTGAGAGGGGCCGGACTCGGTGGTCCATGGGGGGGGGGATGTCTCTTCCAGTGAGGATGGTGGCGGACCTTGAAGTCTTCCGGTTGGGGGTGGGGGGAGATTCTGGACCGGCTTCTTCTCCCTCCCTGCTCAGGCCCCAATCCCGTCTGCCTTGGTCATCCATCTGGACCCTTTGGGCACCTGGCTTGCTCAGTCCTTTTCTTGCTGCCCCTTCGCCAGTCTCTGCGGCCCCCTCTCTCCTGCACGGCTCACCTCTGCGTGACACCGCGCAGCCTCTTTGGAGAGCCAGAGAGAGAGAGAGAGAGAGAGAGAGAAAGGGAGGGAGAGGGAGAGGGGGAGATAGAGGGAGGCATCGGACACCCCTCAGTGCATACTAATGACGCCGGGCTCCTCAAAGCCCCTTTTGTCTCCCTGGACGCTCCATTCAGGCCTTCTCCTACGGGGCACACAATGGCCCCTCTGTCTGGCCTGTTCTCCCTACAAAACACTCAAATGCTTTCACCTCGGTTCTCTCTCTCTCTCTTTCTCT